CCCAGAAGATGAGGCAAAAAAACTTAGACGTTGGTTAAGCACTCCAGTTTATACTGGAGAAGTCAGGTTGAACATCCAGTGGGAAGTGAAGGGATGATGGAAACCCAAGATGATCAATCATGTTGGACATTAGGAGGATGGGTTAGAATGGGACAAGTCTCCAAGTCTGGTGACCATTGAGAGTTCAGTTTGGTTGGGTACAATACATGAAAATGAAGCGACCTACTATGTTTCAGGCCTTGTGTGGGAGCAAAAGAAAAAAAAAGATGAAAATATGGCCCATGCTCTTTTTTTTTTTTTAAGATTTTATTTATTTATTTGACAGAGAGACAGTGAGAGAGGGAACACAAGCAGGGTAAGTGGAAAAGGGAGAAGCAGGCTTCTCTCTTAGCAGGGAGCCCAATTAGGGGCTCAATCCCAGGACCCTAGGATCATGACCTGAGCTGAAGGTCTGACTGAGTCGCCCAGGTGCCCCCTGGTCCATGATTTTAAGGGACTTACCATCTAGTGAGAAACACAGACGTGTACACAGATAACATAAGGTGGGATATGAGAAGACAGGTTAGTACAGGTGCCGAGGGTTTACAAAGAGTTTCAGGATATAACTGCTGAGCTCAGATACAAAGGTCGAGTCATAGTTACATAAGAATGTCAGGAAGGGCAATATTATAAGTATATTTGGAAAGAGCTGAAACACCAGAAGCAGGCTATATTAGTGGTATGTAAGAGAAAAGTAGGGAATAGCGGAAGAAAAGCTTGGAGAGTTAAAGGGAAGTCAAATCATGAAAGACATTTTTATTTCCAAAGTTTTTTTTTTTTAAATAATGGTATAAATCTTCTCAACAAAGAAGTTTCCCCAGTTGCAAAAATGAATGCTTGAAATATATCTTCCAACTAAAAAACAAAAACAAACCAACAAACTAGAAATATAAGGAAACTGACAAAACACCATTATAACATAGTTATTGGTAAGTAGGTTTTTCAATTCCAAATATCAAATAAACACAAAATAACAAACACTCTACTGAAAAATATAATCGAACCCAATTTAGTAGAAACATGTCAAGATATGGACACTGCAAATAAGGAATATAGACCTTTCTCTTTGTGAATTAGAGACAAAAATCATAATATTCTTTCCTATTTTGATGAAACATCTACTAATACTGGTCATGTATTTAGCTACAAAGAAAATCTTAGCAAGTTATCTTACATAGAGATTTCACAGATTTTTTCTGATTAGATTGAATTAAGCTAAAAATCATGATAAAATTGGACTGGGTTTTATAAGAAGTCACTGAAAGATTTTTAAGCAAGAGAGTGACACAGCCATATAGGAAATGGGTTGGAGGGGAGTTAGGAGAGACAGGAGGAGAGAAATCACATAAGGAAATAATGCAACGGTCCTGGAAAGAAATAATGTGGGTCTGAACTAAGATAGGAATAATGGGGAATGGAAAGAGTAGACAATTTAGAATATATTCAGTAGATAAATAACAAGGACTTGCTGACTGATTGAATTTAGGAGAGAGAGAAGTTAGGGTGGGTGGAGAAGAGTTATATGATTAAATTAGGTGGTGACATGGTAGAGGTACTATCATTAATTTAGATAAGGAAGACACACAAAGGAACAGATCTGGGGAAATAGAGAGTTCATATTTGGGCCTGTTGGATTTGAGGAAGAGAGCCCACAGTACACTATAAGGAGACAAAGAAAATTGTAAATGGACATTACCAGGAAGATTATCCTTTTTTTGTAGAAAAAATTCAGAACTAAGGCCAAGATGGGTGGGAAAACGTCAGGTTTCCTCTTTTATTTGGTGCCCAGTAGGGGATGAAGGTGGTTTATCAATAGTATTTAATAGGACTTAACACTGCCTACCTCTCACACCCAGAAATAATTAAGACATCTTTAGGAGTATCTTAAGATGGGACCAAAAAATGTCCAGTCCACTTGGGAAAACAAGACTAAGGACTATACAGCCAGTGCTACAAATGTCCACTAAAGCACATGTCCACTATTGGAAAAGGAGGCAGGACTGTAAGTGAAATGAGAAAAGGCCTTACTTTTAATAAGTCATGGGAAGACACAGATACACATGCACACACACATGTGCACATGAGTCATGGGGAGACACAGACATACACACACACGTGCACATGAGTCATGGGGAGACACAGAAGTCTTTCAGGTGTGGGATGGATCATAAGCAATGGCTCACACGTAACAATACACTGAGGGGGAGCGGTGGAAGGCTCAGGACAGAGAGGGGCATGCTGGGAGCAGGAGAGAGGGAGGAGGGACCTGAAGCCTGGAAAGGAGTTGGAGCTCAACGGGGCAGACAAGGGGTGATGTGGCAGAGATTTTGTCAGGAAGCTAGAGTTACTTCATGGCTCTTACGTCAATTAAAGCCATTAAAACTAATTTTGCCATGTGAATTTTCCTGAGAATTTTTCTATGCTTCTCTGGATAATTGATACCCAAGACCAATGAGTTTCAGGAGAGACTTTTATCTAACACAGACACAAAGATAAAGCCTCACTTTTTGCTTTTACATTTGAGGATTAAAGGATTTGGGTTACTTGAGGGGGCTTAGTAAGTGTTGATTACAATGATTTAGAAAATCCTTAGGGCGTCAGATGGTGATGCAACATAAGCCTTCTCAGAGAGTATATTTAACGACTTACTGGTCTAAAGCACATGCTACAGAGGGCACAGACAAGGAAGAGGCAAACCTGCTTGGCCATTAAGAGGTCTCGAAACGACATGACCTCTCTCATCTGTGGTTTTCTAGATTGTAAGATAGGAATTGTCATTTCCTCATTCATTCAGCCAGTGTTCTATGAGTGTCCACTGTGTACCAAGTACTGTTCTACCTACCTTATAAGATTATTTTGAGAGTTAAATGAAATCACCCAAGTTAAAAGACTTAGCATAGTGTCTAGAATCTACCAGGTGCTAATGGTATTTATTTTTCTATACCAGAGGATTTTTTGGATATTTGAGCTATTATTGGATCAGGCCAACAATGGGCTGAGACACTCGGGGTGTTTGTTACAAATATCAGGGTGTTTTGCAAAGCAAAAGAATTGACTGAATAAGGGATCCAAGAATGATAAGACCTTTAACTTAATGCATTTTGGAAGCAGTAGGATGAAGGGCAAAATGTTGCCCTTGGGAAAGTGAAGCAGGTCTAAGTCAAAGCTAGCCTCAGAAACCTGTGGAGGGTGCAATGAAGCAGCAGCAGGGCTCCAAGTTGAGATGCATTGGAAATGTGAGGGCCCTACTGGGTCTAGAACATTTGGAAAGAACTACAAGGTAGTTTGCTTCATCAACATGTTCAGAGTTAAGGTGCATGACAAAATAATTGTACTTTTGAGACATCTTCAACTGTAAACTCTGTAATGCACCCAACGAAGCCTGGAAAGTAAATTTGCAATTCAGGGTAAATATTTTGAATTGACTGGGTAAGGGACTTGATAACTCAGATACTAGCATTTTCCAGAGCTCCAAATAAGTCATCTGAAAAAAGAAAGGAAGACAAGCTGACTCAAGCTGGAAAACATGTTTTCTCTCAGTATTTTGCTTCTGAAGTGAGCTGGTTTCATTATCAGAGTGTGGCATTTTCCACTTCCCTTTTATAAACTGAACTTTAGCCCTGACCTTCAAGAGTCTAATGAGGTTGGTCAGAAGTCACAATGAGATGGAATATACCTGATTCCCAGAAAGAAAAGGGGATGATCAAAGCCGTTTACATGTGCCCCCTTTGTGCTCAGAAAGGCAATAACCCTTACTTGTTACAATATGTGATAACTGTAACCGCCTATTTATTTTTCAATTTTTTCCAATAGACTAGAAGCTCCTGAAGGGCAGGGACTGTTTATTATTAATCATCGTAACCCCAACTACTTGAAAAGTCTCTTAGAGGAGAGGCTCTGTAAACACTTTATAGTAAGCGAGTGGATCCATGAATGGAGGGAAGGAGAGGGTGAACAAACGGACAGATGGATAGATGGATTCCTGGCCATAAAGAGAAATGCCATAAAAATACAGGAAATGGTGCTGAAGTGAAGGGAGGACAAGATAGCCTGTTTGACTTAGACCCATAAGAATCACTGAGGAGAGATCTCATCCCAGAGTCATGGGGAAGAAGAAAACTTGGATTTGTTTTTGCCATAGTTTCTCCTAATCCATCATCCTAGAAGTCTGCACTGTCCTTCCAGTGGAACAAGCTGCTATTGGATAAATAAGGCGACCTTGGGAGGACCAAGAACAAGAAAGAGCATTAGAACTTTCTGAGAAGGGCATAGAGCCTATCCATGGAGTAGCTATCCTGAGAGGCAAGGGCTCCATCTGTCTGAACTAGCCTGGGTTATGGGTGTCTTAGGCCACGGAGCAGTCCTCATAATGGATAGACTGTGGGGAGTGAGAGGTGGAGGAGCTTTACCAATAGAGTCCACGTGGCTTGCCTGCAGACTTGAGAGTGGTGGTGGTGAATTCCAGGGACCATATTTGCTATGAAGGGGTTTGGTCAGGTCAGCACCATAGGGCATCCACAGCAAAATCCATCTCCTCCCAGGGCAACTCAGACTGAGACTGACAAGATGGAATAATAAGAGAACAGTTAATTCATTGAGCCCCTCCAAAAAATGGAGAAATGTCCCCTAGCGAAGGCCCCTGCAGACATATGGGCTGCCAGAAGGAGACAGCGCATCCAGGAACTGAAAGAGCTGGGGGAATGCAGGGGCCTGCAGTTCCCCTCCCTGACTCCTGCTGGCCTTTGGGAGGAGGTCGTAGCACAAGAATGGTCATCAGACAACATAGTCTTTGCCATTCTACTGGCCTGTGGAATTTGGGAACTCTCATCTCACTGCACGGAAAACAGCCCTGGGACTCACTTGCACAAGGGTGCCCCCTGGGACATGATTCATACAAATTCCAAGCTTGTAATTCATACATATATCAATGTGGGTATGTTGGAAGGGAGGGCCAAACATACCATACAAAGGGAAAGCTTGATTCATCAAAGATTATTCTGCAGCAGTTGCCTCCGGCTGCTAAGGAGGTAGCACAGCAGGGTGTTTAAGAGCCTGGACTTGGAAGCCAAATGCTAGGGCTTCAATCTTCTCTTCATTTCTTTCACTCCCAGACTTTGAGTGAGTTTTCTCTTCTCCTAGGTCTCTACTTCTTCCTATGTTGAAGGGCGTAACAAGAGCACCTACGTCACAGGGCGTTTAAGAAGACTACTGTAAATAATGCAAGTCAATTCGAGCATATAAAAAGTACTTGATAAACATTAGCATACATGCAAAATACGACCTGACTTATAAAATGTGAATCCTATCTTATGTGTTCAAACATAGGCAAGATTCCTACGTAATTGCCCGTAGAGTAATAGTTGGTTATGGAGTGGTCACTGGAGAAGATGAACCAGGAAACATGCATCGATCAAAAGCATACTCTGTGATACACTCTTTTTTTTTTTTAAAGATACTCAAAAATCCCTTGTTGACCTAAAGTATTTATGGAATGTAGTTTGGAAACCATTGCATTATTGGACCAAAATAAAAGCTCTATGTCCTAGGGGTGCCTGGGTGGCTTAGTTGGTAGAGCGTGTGACTCTTGATCTTGGAGTTGTGGGTTGAAGCCCCACATTGGGTGTAGAGATTGCTTAAAAAAATAGAATCTTAGAAGAAAAAAAAAGGCAATATATCCTGAACCGATTATAGTTGGGTATACTGCCCACTCTAGCTGAAATAACCAGAGGCAACTTTTAAAAGCTGGGCCCACTGAACACATTCCTTCTGACATTTGGTGCCTATGCCAACAGGTGTGATCTTGATTTTATATAAGGGGTTTATGACTGACAATGCCAAGGAAAACATTTAACAGGAGACTAGTGCAGAGGAAGTAAAAATCTATTATTTGGGGTTACCATGAATACACACAGAAGCTTCTAAGACATGTCTAATAGGATGATGGTGAGATAGTGAGTAAAAAAAAATTAAGTGCCTGTGAATTTCATATACTAATACGAAAGCTTTAAACAAAGGACACAAAAAGAGTAATGAGCAAGTTGGGAAACACTGACTAAGAAATTAACAACCGCTTCAAATTTGCCCAGCGCCATAAGAAGTGGCCAGGGTTTTTGTTAAGTTTTTAGGTCATTTAAAATTGCGACATAAACTATAATTTCTACTTCTGTTTAAAAAAAGGGCTTTGAAAGGTAGATTGTCTTTCAAAGATGACTAGAGCTTAAATCTGAGAAACATTAATTTTTATGGCTTGTGGTTTTAAAATACTACCCCTGGGTGGTGATGTTGAGGGGAAGGCCTGGGGGAAAGTTATCTCTGGCCTCTGGGAGTTCTTATTCTCATCTACCCTCCCCTGGTCTTCTCTCCTCTCCATTCTTTACCTTTGTCTCCCCCCACGTAGCAAAGGGTTAGGAGTTGAATTTCATGTATTTAATTACACATGCCTGGCAGGAAAAACGCTGTGGACAAGGCTGTGATCAAATGATAAGCCTACAGACAACGATTAATTAAGAACGCCAAGCATATGAGAACAGTTTCATTATTTCCGAATACAGTCTAATAAAGTCAATGTATTATATATTTAAAAATATAAACTCTATATTATTATGCCAATAGACAACCAAGCATAACAGGTATATGCAAATTATACTTTCATAGTTTAAATCTTCTCACTTTTGGCCTACACAACAGTGTCATCAAGGCAAAGCAGGGTTGGGGTGAAGAGAACCAAGGCTAGACATGGCTCATGGAGCAGAGCAGAAGACACTCGAAAACAGGCCCTGAATTCCTGGCAATTGAAGGTCTTGGTCTAGAGTAGGAGGAAAGAAGGATAAAATACTAAGAGCGAGTAAAGGAAAAGTTGTTCATGCTGAGAAGAGAACGAACAGAATAGGGATGGAGAGGGATTTTAAAAGAAGGAAGGGGGGGGGCACCTGGGTGGCTCAGTTGGTTAAGCAACTGCCTTCAGCTCAGGTCATGATCCCGGAGTCCCGGGATCAAGTCCTGCACCGGGCTCCCTGCTTGGCAGCGAGTCTGCCTCTCCCACTGACCTTTCTTCACTAATGCTCTCTCTCTCTCTCAAATAAATAAATAAAATCTTAAAAAAAAAAAAAGAAGGAAGGGGCTCTGGTCTAGTGGGTAGACTGGTCTTAAGCAGAAGATGAACGTTGCAAATACTTAGGCAGATTCCTTCAGACATTTTTAAGGCTAACTGAGGTTTTTCCTGTTCTCATCTCCCACCTTCCTCTACTCCCTCAAAAAATTTATGGTACCCTACCTTCCTTAAACCGGGAATCAAGTTTTTCATCCCACAATTAGAGATAACGCTTGATAAGCAAACCAGCTGGCCCACGTAACATGAAACTCTTTCTCACTAAAATATTAATAGCTGATACTGATCCTTTGCTATTTTGATAAGAAGAGGAAGTAAGAGAATGGGAAGGTCCTGGCATGAAAAATTTCCCGAAGTAGGAGAGGAAGAACAAGAGAAACAACTCATGTTTATGGCATACTTGTGTCAGGTTCTAAGTGCTTTACATGAATTAACTTGTTCAGTCCCCACAGCACCCTGTCTGAGGGACATACTATTACTAATCATGCTTTTACAGATGAGGAAACTGAGTCATGGTGAGGTTAGGAAACCTGCTTAGGGTCACTCTGGTAGGGCCAAATTTTGAATTCTGGCATTTCTAGTTCAGAGAGAAGATTGCCCAGGAAACAAAACTTTCCTTTGTGAATGATGTTCCCTGAAGTCAGCTTGTTTACTCCCAAGTGTCAGGGATAAGGAGGAGTTCAGTACAGAGGTGGGTTATCTCACCACAGTGTTGTAGATCTGCTAGTTATAGGAACACCAGCAGAGGTTACCACATTCAGGCCTATGGAACACTGTGACACTCTCTCGGTCCCATGTGTGTACTGATTTGCTGCCTGAATTAGTGATCCTGTTGAAGTTATTTAAGCTTCCTGTGCCTCTGAATCCACATTTGGAAACTGGGTTATTTCCACTTGTCCGCTCTCAGACTCAGGGGAATGCCTCAGAGGCCTAATGGTCTGATACATTCAAAGCGCTTTGAGCCATGAACCAGGACTAACTGAACTTTTAGAGAACAGTATGACTTGGAAGTAGCATTTAAATTGACATAAATGGTAGAATATTCTCCTAGTAGCTTCTTCGGATGTTCTTTGTTGAGCTGCCTGGTCCACCATGGCTGCCCAAGTTCTTCTCTAGACTTTCACACTGAATAGCACTAATGAAGAATGGTCTGGTGGACCTGGGTAATGCCCCTGTAGTCTGGGATTGTTCAAATTATGTGCAGATAAGGATCCTTAATTCAAAATAACAATCTTCCAGCCAGGACCTTGAAAGCTATTGCTTATCCAAAAAGATAAGAAGAACTGGACCCACTCCAAGGAAACATTTTAACTTAATTGTAAACCCTCTATCTTAGCATTTAATTCAGATGACAGTGATCTAACTGACATGACCAAGGGCAGAAACAATGGCAAAATTAAAAGAAGTAATAATGATTTACAAAGAGATGTGGGTAAGGAGATACCAGAGACTCAAAGAATGGGGAGAGAAGGAGTCTCAGCTGTAGCTATGATTAAGGAACAACAGGCACAAAAAGAAGTATAAAGCTAGGGTTTAAAAACAAATGCTTCTGATTAATCCACATTGTCTAGTGGAATTTTCCTCCCATTTTTTACAGCATATACATATTAGTTGTCAACCTATGTTTTCAGTTAAAACAAATGGCAGCAGAACGGTGATCAAAATATTTCTAACAGATGCAGTCATCAACTTAATGATATTTATGCCTTGTATTCATGTTTTTTAAGGGCCAGAGTCATACCTGAGCACAGTTATGCCCTTCCAGACCTGAGAAAGGAAGCAATCATTGTGAGCTAAGAAATACAACCAATGGGAATCAAGGGGGAAATTCAGGAGCAGAATGGGGCAGCTTAAAATAGTTTACAAAAGAATTTGAGAGAAAAGGAAGGACATTGAACAACAAAAGGAAGGTGGTAGACGGTCAAGACCATACAGTTTTAAGAAACTACAAGTCCAAAACAAGGAAAATAAAAGACCGTTTTCCCGAGTGTGGTTGTGATTCAAGCCATTTCAGATAAAAGCTATGACAAATTCCCTCCCCCCCAAAAAGAAATTAGGTGCAAGAAATCTGATTTTAAGATGCTAAGCCTTCCTTTTCGGCAGCATTTTCTCATATCTGCAGATACCTCTTTTTAAGCATTCAAGGCCCTACCTATTACTCACCAAAGGGAAAACACTGATATGGACTTGTCATGGTGAGAATTAAGACAGTCATAATCTTCCCAGGAGAATTTACAGATTAAAGCTCTTCTTTCCATGAGAAGGAATTTTTAGATGGAAAGCTTGTAGAAGAGGCATGAGAACCCTCCTCAGGTCCTTTCTCCCAAACCTCACTGAAGGCACCTTCTATGTTTACTTCTGTCTTCCTTGGTCCCATTCATGACAGTGATTGTTATCCAGTTCATAAACATACCTTCACGTTGTCTTTGCCCGGAAAGGAAAGTGTTTCCTTTCGACACAGAACAATGGGATTTGTGTAAACAAAAGGCCATCTTGGTAAAATTGTGCCGTGATATTTTGCTATGTCCAGCCTACGATAAGGTCATTGAAAACCCACTAATGAACCATAAACTGTAAAGGAAACCAGCAGTCATTTAACAGTTCCATTTCATGTACAAATGTTCATTGCTTTTGCTGAGAACAGGGTGCAGGGACCGATGCTCCTTATCTCTGTGCCAAAGCTTGTTTACAAGGAGGGGAAGGATGGCTTCCTTGGCCATACTCTGTGAGCCGCCCCACTCTGCAGTGGACTCAATAGGACGAAGGGTGGGGTGGGCACACAGGGCTTGCACAATGCTCCAGTTCTTTGCACCCCAAATATTTACTGAGATAGTCAGGTCATTCTTTGAAGATGCCAGGCCTAACCTCAAAGAGCTGGCAGAGGGACAGGAGGAAAAAGAAGGGCTCCCTCTGTTCGGTAAAGATGTGCTCACTGGATCTACAGTGATTGCAAAAGCAGCCGTATAGAAATACAAGAATTGTCCTACACACCCTCTTCAAACCAACCCCTCATTTGAAAACTCAGCTTCAGAGCAACTCGCCTAGGCACATCCTACCCAGGCATTTCTGAGTATATAGGCTGTTATTTCCACTGCCTGGAAAAGTCTTCTCCTCTATCTAGAGTCTACCTTTTCTTCCGGATTCCTCTCTAGCTCTCTCCACATCCCACTTCTCGTTTTAAGCCTCTCCCGGTATCCCAGCCCATAGTAATCACTTTGTTCTTTAGTCTCTTACACCACTCTCGTAGCGCTGGTCATTCTGTGGCATTTATCTGTGTACCCATTCAGTTCCCCATCGCCAGCACCAGACATGGCACCTAACAGTCAACCTTCACTCTGTGCCTAGAAACGATGAGAAATTCTTCTTTAGACTGGTGTAAGCAGGTCTGTCTCAAGTTCATGTTTATGTAAAGTCTATGTAATTTTTAAACCCCAGTGAAAGGTTTTTCCATGGTTAACATGTTTGAAATGTAGTACATCCTTAATAGGTTGTCATTTTCAGATATCATGGTTTTTTGGGTTTTTTTTAAGATTTTATTTATTCTTTGACAGAGCTCACAAGTAGGCAGAAAGGCAGGCAGAGAGAGAGGAAGGGAAGCAGGCTCCTTGCTGAGCAGAGAGCCTGATACAGGGCTTGATCCCAGGACCCTGAGATCATGACCTGAGCCAAAGGCAGAGTCTTTAACCCACTGAGCCACCCAGGCACCCCCAGACATCATGGGTTTTAATAGAATGCGTAAGAAACAACTCTCAGTGGATCTGGGGTAAAGGGAAGAGCAATTACCTACAGAGAGCGAGAGGAGCAAAGAAAGGATTCATACAGTCCTAAACCCACACCGGTATGACCAACTAGTCCAGTTTACCTGGGACTTTGTCAGTTTAACACTAGAAGTCCCATGTCCTGGACAATCCCTCAATCCCAGACAGACCAGCGCAGTTGGTCACCTACTGAGTGCCCACGAGCATTCTGACAAGAAGCAAATGTAAGTTTTAAATGATGGGCTGAGCCCCCTCTTCCTCCTCTCTCACCTCAAATCCTGGTGCCACAAGCTTCTCCAAAGACACTCTACTCTTCAAAGACAAGTACCCAGTTTCCAGGAAGGAATCCTGGGTGTATTCAGTTCTCTTGACTTCAGAAGCAGTCTCAGGCCTGGGAGGACAAACGGTCAAGAGAAAAAGCTTTATACAGAGTTCTCACAAAACAGAAACTAAAAGGAATATTTGGAACAGGAAACAGTGACCTTTATGGCATGATTCCCAAAGGGAAAGTCAAAGGCAGAGACTCAGGAAGGCAAATGTCCAGAGTCCACAGGAACTCCAGCTTACACCAAACATTACATACCAGGCCTGCTAATAGCAGAGCCAGAGCAGCTGGTGTGATAATGTTCCCCTGCAATCAACCCAACTGTGACAATTCGAGAGGATACATTAGCAAGAAAACTGGAACCTATGATTATGAATACATCTGAACGTTGTCGCATGCAGCAGAACATAGTGGCATACCTTCTGAGCGACAAAAACCTATAACACACCAATAGACACATTCTGAAAATAAAATGGACCTCCAAGAAGCATAACAATAACAACACCATAAATAATGGTATATTCAAAAATCAACTTCAGCTCTGTAGTTTGCAGAATGATGGGAATTTTTTTCCATAATAGAATGATAGCGCACTTAATAATTTTGATCTGCATATTGTTTAACACAGTAACTCGGAACGATAAAAGCGTAATTGGGAAAGGGAAATTTTACTGTTTGTATTTCTATACTATCACTCAAGATAAAAGGTGGGGTTGAGGGGCGCCTGGGTGGCTCAGTGGGTTAAAGCCTCTGCCTCCAGCTAAGGTCAGGGTCTCAAGGTCCTGGGATTGGGCCCCACATCGAGCTTTCTGCTCAGCGGGGAGCCTGCTTCCCCTTCTCTCTCTGCCTGCCTCTCTGCCTACTTGTGATCTCTCTGTGTCAAAATAAATAAATAAAAATTTAAGAAAAAAAAAGGTGGGGTTGATTTCTTTAAGTATAGATTTCTGGGGGCTCCTGTAGAGCACGCGACTCTTGATCTCAGGGTTGTGAGCTCGAGTTCCCTGTGGGGTGTAGAGATTACAATAAACAAACAAACAAACAAACAAACTTTAAAAAAAAAGCGTAGATTTCTGTGATTAAAAATGTTCCTGTGTACTGAGGTACAAGTGCTAGTAAGGCGACCTGGCCTAGAGCTGAAATTTAGGGTACGTGGTGCAGGATATAATCTTACCACCAGAGGGTATTGTTTCCTCTTCCGGATGGCTGGCAAGTTTATGTAACCACAAACTAACCCTGAACCAGCCCCCTCTAAAAATGGGCCAGGCCAGATCACAGCAAAGTGGATTAATCTGCAATATTCCCACAAATTCCCTCTTGTCCTCTGATTTTAGAGAGAGTTCGGTTTCCTTTCTGTTGAGAGAATCAGGCTGGCAGCAAGCCAACTGACACACACTGTATGTGGAAAACAGATCACACCCCTCCTGCTGGTCAAAACAAGAGAATGGCCACTTAGGAAATTAGCCCAGGTGGCTATTTCTGATTACCCCACGAGGTAGGAGTTTCAAGGGAGTGAGAACTCAGCGGCTAGAATCAGGGAGCAGAAGGGATTTCAGCGGCAGCATGGCCTCCTGCTTGAATTTTGATGTAAGCTGATTTACAGCTGAAAAAGGTCCATGTCTTGTTAGAGACCAAAAAGCTAGGAAAGTTACCAGAGAGATTTTGACAACTCCAAAGTCAGCCAGGGAATCTGTCCCAGCCCATTAGTATACCGAATTTAGAAAGCAAGGCCCTGGAAAGGTGCCCCAGGAGGATGCCCAAGGGAGTCAGTGTGAATCCAGCTAAATGCTTACTCTTGAAAAAGGAAGGCTTTGTCCCCTCCAGCTCGCTCCATGCCAGAGGCTCTGTCAGGGAGACAGGCTTGAAGTGCAGAAATATGGGATATTAGGTCATCTGCCTGACCGAAGGCAAGTTCAACAAATCCAAACTTGAAGTCAATAAAAAATTTCCGTTTTTTTAATGACCAAAAATAATACTTGTTCACTGCTAAAACTTCAAACAATACAGAGGTAAGGGTAACAAGTGAGGGACTTTCTTCTCACAGCCAGCCCACTCCCCTCAGTCCCATGTGCCAGGAATGTTCACTGTCGATGATCTGCTCATATTTTTCAGGGCCTCCAATTTCTTTTTCTTTTCTTTTCTTTTTTTTTTCTTTTTTCAAAGTTTATGTATTTATTTGGGGAAGGGGGCAGAGGGAAAGGAAAAAGCAGACTCCCCACTGAGCTCGGAGCCCACATGGGGCTCCATCCCAAGACTCTGACGCTCAACTGACTGAGCCACCCAGGCGCCCCCAGGTCCTCTAATTTCTATGAATAATTAAAAAATTTAGCTAGCTCTCTATATATCTATTCATCCCATGCATCTCTCAATTGCCCATTTGGTTTCGTCTTATTTTGCAAAAGGGAGATGCTAAAATACATATTCTTCTACTTGAGTTGTTCATTCCACAGACCATGGAATTTTTCAAGTTTGTCTCATTCTTTTTAATAGTGACACAGTATCCCATTGTACAGATGTCTCATAACTTTTTTAGCCCTTGCCCTGTTGATGGACATTGATGCTGTATCCAATTTCTTTTTCTATTACAAAACTGCTATAATAAAAATTCTTAATTAAAATAAATAGTTATTGGAGCGCCTGGATGGCTCAGTCAGTTAAGCATCTGCCTTCAGCTCAGATCTTGATCTCAGGGTCCTGGGGTGGAGCCCTGAGTTGGACTCCCTGCTGAGCAGGGAGTCTGCTTCTCCCTCTTCTTCTGCCCCTCCCACGGGCTTGTGCTCACCCTCTCACTCACTCTGTCAAATAAATAAACAAAATCTTAAAAAAATAAAAAAAATACAAGAAAATAAATAATAATTTTTTTGAACATAATTATTAATGGGCATGTGGTGTTAAGGATCATACACTGTGCTAAGCCCTCTACAGGATATTAAAACGAATAAAATATATTTTTGCCTAATTGGAGTTTTCTCTCTGGTGGGAAAGAACTACAAATATCTGACATATGAAAAAAAGACTCAAACACTAAATCATTATACAAATAATATTTTCAAACAAATAACATTCACTGCCCAGGGAGCAGAGAGAAGGGAGGCATCCAGTTCTAACAGCTGGATTAGGAAAGGTTTCATGAATTGACTCTATCTATGTAGAGATTTGCTTTAGTGTGTTGGATCTAGGGAAGTTGAGATGTAAACTTGTAGAAGCCTTAACAAAGTCATCCTTTTCACCACGCACTGAGATACGATTTTTGCTATCTGAATTTCCTTTAGCAAATATAATTTCAGAAAGGTCTGGGAATGCTTTGTCCTTCTTTCTAAGTGTATTTTGGTGGGTTTAGTCTGAAACTGAAAACTCACTACAAATATCCAACATGGTATTGCTTTTTGCTCTAACCTCAATATTTTCTGGGTAAAAGTATGATCTCCAAATCAACATGTCAGAGACTGTTGAATTATTCTTGTTCCATGTGGTGTGACCCTCCAGAAAAGGATTTTATCCGTACACTAAATCCAACAATGTGTTTTAAAAATAAAATGTGGACAACTCACTTGTGATAACAAATCTCTGTAAGTTGGAATCCTCCTGGCAAGCATGTAAACATGCTGAATGGAGAGTTTTTATTTTTAAGCAATCTTAATTAGCAGGTCTTTTTCTTATTAACATCTTCAAAGTGCTCTGAGCTCCTCCCCAGATGAAAGCTTCTGTGTGCGTACAAATTATTATTATGCTCACAAAATACACACACTAAATGCAAGAAAAGTGCAAACAGTTTAACTCCACAGCCTGCATGCCCTTGAGACACTTTGATCTGCCAATATAGCCATCAATTATTCCATATCCTTTACTCTCTAAATGCATGCATCAAAGCATTCTCATGCACACCCTTGTAAATCCAGCTGTTTATTCCAAAATAGTTCCTCTTAATTAACCCTTGTTTCCTTCCCCCTTTGTGGGCAGCTGCTGATTCAGCTTTTTTTCTTTTGAGAAGGTATATGTAACCTTGGCTTTGAAATGGAAAATACCTCCATTTTTTTCTCTACAAAGATGGTCATGACATAAAAGATGTGTATTAATAAAGATTCTTTGATGCCCTGGGAAAATGCATGGGATCCAGTAAGTGAAAAAAAGCATGGTACAAAAATGTATCTAGTACTATCTCAACGGTACCACTAATAATTGCTAATATGAATTGCATACAATCATTTAGCTGACTGACCTGAAAGCTTTACCCATGCAATCTATGTTAATCTGCACCATGAGGTGAATGCTATCATCTCCCATGTGGCCATAAAGACACTGAAACTTGGAAAGGTTAAATGATGGGGTGCTGTCTGGCACTGTCTGGTTCCAAAGCTCATTCCCTTAGTGATGGTCATGCTGCCTTTAACAGTGACTGTCCCTTGGTAGAGAGATTTGGGATAATTTTTTTTTCTCCCAGCTATTTTACACTTACATATTTTAAAAAGAAACCAAACTCACATACTAACCACATGAATTAACCAAATAAAAATAAAGAAGGTATTACTTATGGGTGTGCTGACTTGGGATAAACATAAGAAACATGTTATTAACCTCAGAGTTCTCTGGGTCTTTACTTCCTCATCTTTAAAAATGAGGGGATTGAACCAAGTGATTTCAGAGGCACCTTTCAATTCTAATGTTACTTTAGTCTTTTAGTTCCTGATTATGCTGCAGAAATGGCACTTTCCTTCAAAAATAAGTAGGTTCTACTTCCCTAAATTTGCTCAAAGAGCTGTTAAGCACTGAGGGAAGAACCACAGAACTGAATGTTAAATGAACCCAGGTCGTGATTCATCTTTGAACACCAAAGAAGAATAAAGGCTACTTTTGTTAATGATGAATATTGAATAAGTATTGTAAAGTTATTACATAATTAATAAATTATAATCACAAGTGAAGAATACGCACATTTTTTCTGATCTAAGTCCAGAGTAAAAGACAAGTTGCATTGAAACTCAGGGCCAGGTCTTTTTCTGACCAGGGTTTAGTTTGGACATGTCTGGAATGTAGGAGTGAGGAAGCCTTTGAAACAACATGGAGAGTGGGTGTTTCCAGCTGAGAGGAGCATTTGATCTTTGCTTGGAAAATAACTACCTGCACTACAAAGGAAGGTTGCTCGTCCCCACACAGGAAGCATGT